CCCCGGGAATGTAGTCATGGCACCGAGCTTGTTGGAGTTTAAGAAGCATTTGGACTGTGCTCTTAGTCATATGGTCGGAATTTTTGGGTAGACCTGTGTGGTGCCAGGAGTTGACTCGATGATCCTTGTGGGTCCCTTCCAAACCGGGATATTCTATGATTCTATGATTCATTTCACTGGAAGCAGCCTCAGAAATAAATACCCTTTATTGTTCAGGAATTCTGATGGAATTTCTTGTGTTGTTCAGACTTTATTTTCCAGCCTCCTAGGCTATAGTTATAATTTCACTATCCCTATTCATTTGTCTTTGCCTGGCCTTTAGGAGGACCAGCATAGATGGCAGAGAGAGTGAAAGAGAAGTGAAGGGTGGGGAGTGGTTGGGTGAAGGGGTAGGGAGGGGGAGTTTAGATACTCTTTTCGCTTCCATTTTGGAGCCAACACTGACTGCTGGTTAATCCCCTTCCTGTACCCAACTTCTGCCTTGTCTCCTTGGACACCTCTGCTTATAGAGGATAATCTCTTTCCTGCCCAATTGCTCTTGCTTGTTCACTAGGCACTGCACTAATCGACAACAAAATTGATTTCTTTTGGGTCTGCTATTCAGTTTCTCACTTTGAAAACTGTCATCAGCCTTTTCCGTGAGCCTGGCTTCCTGTGGGTTTGAACCATACTGCTGACATCCCACCGTGTTGACAATCACAGTTTTCTTCTTGTGATTGCTGCCAGTACTCTCCCTTCCTCCTCACCATATCATCCACTCCATCCCTCTTGTCCTTCACACATCTCCACCATCCTCTGCCCCCTGAAATACTGCCAGATCCTTCTCGTATCCTCTACCAGTTTGGCTTGATATGCAACCTCATGTGGTTGTGCCTGGCTAGGAGCTTTGCATGTGCTGGTTGGGATTTGGAGATTGGACAAAGCAGATGGCTCGTGAGCTTGTTCTGAAGCATTTCCAACAATGTCACTCTAATTTGAGGCTCCCTCTACCTGCTGTTGATTTTTCCTGAAAGATGTATGGACTTGACTCTTCTGGTCTCCTGTTCCTCTGTCAGATTTGGCTGAAGCTGGCTAGAGAGTCAGAAGACAGCAGAGCAATCCCAGGAGGTCAGCCAGGGACAGGGTGATCTTTAGTCTCCTTTTTAGGAAGCCAGGTTAACAAGAAGTTAAAGACAAAGAAAGGTGGCAGAGTATCATTTTATTCTTGCCTGTAGGAGGGATGATACTGCGCACTGTGATCCTCAGACTTGGTTACCCTATCCTTGCAAGATTTGCTAAACACGAGTGCTGAAAATACCTGCTTGCTGGTTGCTGCTGTGCAGTTCAAGCTGAGAGCTGTGCACTGGTTGGAAATTTCAGAAAGGTTATGCGTGTCCTTTTTTGAATCCTTTCTGCAGCACATATGAATATGACTTGGACAGTATCTTGGGTACAGAAGGCTGGAAAGAAAGAAGCTGAATCCTGGATGCACAGATCTTTCTGTTGTGTTGTTGGCACCTTGATCCACATATTTGGCCATCACTTTACCATTGTCCTCCAGCATGTAACAGAAATACAGTGTTCACAACATGAGAATCTGTGCATAATATCTATCAGATGGCATGATAAACTTAGCCCTGGAAATTGGATTTTTTTATTTTTTTTTTAATTTTACAGTGCTTAATGCTTTCGAGTAATGAACTGGAGGGAAGAGAGAAAAGAATTGAGATGGTACAGTGTGTTGTTATTCCAGCCTCAGGAGAGTATGTGCTAGTAGGAAGCACTCCAGCACTCTGGTTGGATTTGCACATGGTTTGACCCATTGCTCACAATGACACATTGCTGAGCACACAAAGTGGCTGCTGAACGAGGACTTTGCTTCTGTGGCCTGCTTGCTTGTAGGTTTGAAGGGTCTGTGTTTCTGGAAGAGACCACTTAGGCCATCAGGCACTCTGCTTGTGCTGGCACTTCAGCATTACTGATGGGCTGCCTTAAGCAGAAATGAGCCCGGTGGTTAAAAGAAAAATGCCAAGCCAGAAAAGCGATTTTATTTATTTATATATATATATATATATATATTATATATATATATATATATATATATATATATATATATATAAATGTATTCTGTATCCCATTTCCTGGAAGAAGTTTGTTCCTTTCTTTGGCTTTCTCTGTATTTTTGGGAGGTGCTGCTGTTGTGGCTATTAGGAAGGTCCTTACTAGGAGTGAGGTTTTCCAGTTATGACAACTTGATTTGAGGACATGCTTTTCATTAATAGTTTACTGTTTGCGTGTAGCCAAGGGGCATGCCTCGGCTGGATAATTGGATTTGGAAGGCTAGTGTTTGTAGCAATTGTGACACTTCTTGCTGTGAAGCCAATTTCTGGAGCGATGCAGCTGATACAACATCGGGGCAATCTGTTACAGTGCCTTTGTTCCATGGATGTCTGGCTGGTGTGAAAAATAACCACAGCAAGAGAGTCTTTCCTCAAGAGCATGCCTACCTCAGCACAAGGAAGCAAAATTAAGACATTGGTCTGTATCTAAAACCAAATCAAAATGTTTTGGAGAAAAAAATGACAGAAGTAGAACTCTGCAAAGTCTTCACCAGCTTATGCAAATTTACATTTTATGTTCTTTTCTTGTGATCCTTTATGAAGTTCAGAAGGCTGATTAGCTGTGACCCAGAACCCATTGTTTCTCATTTCTATTCTTATGCACTTAAAAATTAAGAAGTTGGTGGTTGTTGTTTTTTCCAGTTTATCTTCTCTACTGCCTGTATATACTTTGCAGGAACATTTTGTGACACTTCAGTCTATACTTAAATGCCTCTAACAATTTAAAACAACAAAAAAAAAAGAAATAAAAGGAAATATTACTTAACTGAACAACTAAGGAGCATTAATTTTATCCTAGTTGCTGATTCTGTCAAATTCATGCCATTTCTGAATCTGATATGTGCTCAGCCATGGAAATCCTAGGCTTAAATCAGCCTTTGATGCTTTGGGTAAAATGCAGGCCCTGTGCAAGTCAGTTTGAACTTGTGGCTCCAGGAAGCCCTGAGCTTCTCAGGATCTCTGATGCTTTTTAAATAGTAATGTTCTTTTTCTTGTGATATTCAAGCTGTGTAGAACAAAAACTACAATTTTAATTGTACACTAAAAGGGACTATTAAGAACAACATATTTTATGCAGAGGATGCTGCTTTCCCTCACTCTGTCTAATGATTTCAAAGCATAAATAAGGAAAATATTAGGTACTGTTTTTGCCACTCTCCTGTATGCACACAGTGTTGAGATTTTCAGTACCAGTCCACGCTGTTCATTGTTGAACTTGCTCTTTGTCTTACTGCCAGATTTATTTGGCTGGTCAATAAAACATTGTGCTGTTTTTTCTTGTGTTTTTTTTTGCTGTTGTGACAGGGACTGATTTTTGTGCTTCCTGCTCTTACCTCTCCTTTTGCTCTCCTGTGTCATGCATCGCCTTCCCAGCTCTTCACCTTGAGCACTGAAATGATGCCCACGTCTTCCTTAGGCTCCTAGCACCGGCTGGTGTCTGGGGTCTGATAAGGAGCGTGGTGCCTTGGGTCACCTTATATGTGTTGACTTGTTCTGTTCATTGCAGGCTTCGTTTTCTTCAGTCCAGTTCTTTCCAGTGTTGAAGGTTACACACTTGCAGTTGGTTAGACACACTAAAATGCAAGGGATGGAATGTCTCAGCGTTACCATTGGATGTTTGGGCACTGTTATGTAGGGTCTTGACTCAGTTTTCATGTGCTGGAAACAAATATGCTTCAGAGAGCATCAAATGCACCAGTGAGGGAGTGGGTGCTAAATCGACTTTCGAGGCTGTGCCAGAGCCATGAGGATCTATCGTACCTGTTGTGAAGACAGATCCTATGCAAGGGCAGCGAGGCCAGAGCAGAATGAGGAGGGGCTACTCTGGAAGAGGTTGGAATAAGAGTCCTCTGCTTTTAAGGGTTTGGACCCCAAAGTTTCTATTTCCTCTTTGAATTGTGAGCATACAGAGAAGAGCCCCCCTCACATCTGCTTTACCTCTTGCTACATGTGTTTTTTCTCAGCCAAATTTCAGGATTATCGGTAAAGCTGTCAAGAGAACCTTTGACATCAGCTTCATAAAGAGAATATCATGTTGCAAATTGCCTCAGGTAATTAATTATTTCTTCTGTAAATAGAAGGCTTGATATGCATCAATGGTGCTATGGGATGTTTCTCAAGAGAGAAATAAATGCTCCAGCAGGGCCCATAGTGAGTAGTGAAGCACTCTTCGTATGCAGGAGGCTCATTATCCTTCCAGTTTAATTCTACAAGGAAACAAAAATACAACCTTCATCGTGGTGGATTATATTAGAAGCAAAGTACAGCTGTTCACGAATTCCTCAGGGATGTGCACTTGAGCTTGGCAGCACTCGGGTGAATACACATTTCTCTGGTTACAGGGTAAAACCAACACAGCCCACCCAGCCTGGTAAGGCAAGTGGGGTCTTTGAGGCGAGCGGGCTAAGAGTTGGTATCAAGGTACAGTCATGGTACCCACCTTGCAGTGTGCCTCTACCTGGCGGGTCCAAAGGAGAAGTCCAGACCGTGGCACGTTTTCTGCTTGCAGTGCTCTCCAGGCCAGGGCAATGCGTGTAGTAGTGCTGGCAGACTTGGGCTCCACGTTTGGGAGCAAACATGGCAGCAACTTTGGAAGTGAGCTTTGGAGGATGTTACTTATGTTGGAGAATTGCTTGCTTTTCAGTACACAGCTGGTCTCCCAAACTATTTTCAAAACAATCTTTCCCATTCTAGCATTTAATCGGAGTTAGAATTGTTTCTAAGTAGGCAGGTAAGCACAGTGTCCGTTTTGTGATGTTTTTCTAATTGGGTCCTATTGGCATAGAAGAGTCCCTTTCAAATTCGTGATTTTATGTATTTATGGATTTTAGCAGTATAGAAGAGTAAAGAGAGAAATGTATCCTTTTTATTGCTAAACCTGTCTTCTCCACTGACTCTTAGGTTTGGAGGGGCACTTTGGCTCGTCTTCGCTATAAGAGGACAAAGGCTGCCCTGACGATACTCAAGTATTACCGCCGCTACAAAGTGAAGGCCTACATCCATGAAGTTGCCCAACGCTTTCGCAATGTGAGGTCAATGAAGGATTATGGCAAGCATGTGCAATGGCCCACTCCACCAAAAGTGCTGCACCGATTTGAAGAGGCACTCCAGATGATTTACCATAGGTACTAATAAAACTTTTTGTGTTTTTAGTCTAACCCAGAGGACTGAACAATTACTACTTGTTCCATAAAAGCTGGAAAAATGAGTAGAGAACATGAACTGGGAATCAAAGATGAAGGTATTAGTGGCTTCTGGTACTCTTGACCGTGCAAATTATTATTCTGTTTCAGAGATTTACTCAGGATGGACATTGTGTTTTCTTCCTCAGCTCCTCTCTTGGCCTTTCTGATCAGTTTTGAAAGAAAAGAGCAGCTGGTGTTAGGCTGGGGGAAGAAAAAAGGAATCTTCTGGACTCCATCAAGACTTCTATAAGTCATTTTTTCTGCAATAGATTAAGTAGTGTTTCACTATTCACCGTATGCAGAAAAGGTGTTTTATACATTTATTACAAGTGTCTGATACCTAAAACCTTTTTCCTCTGGCAAGTCTGGTATTGTAGACAAGAGAGGTATAAAGCAGTTACAATTCCAGTTTGAAAAACGATAACTTCTGAAAGTCAGTGAATAAGAGAAATGTTGGCTGAACGGGACATCTAGAGATCTCTAGGTGAGCCAACTGCTTGATGCAGTGTTACCACCAGCACCAGATCAGGTCAGCTTTTTTTTTTTTTCTTTTCTTGGATGTCTCTTGAAAGCCATCCACAACCTATCTGGGTAGGCATCCTGCTTTCTGAATAAGCTCAGTTATTATAACCACAACATTTTAGTTACTAAAGACTTTTCACAGCCATAGTCTTAGGGATCTGGTGTTGTTGAAGGCAGGAATATGGTGTAGAGTAATTGCTGGTCTGTCCTGTACTGTCCTGTTTCATATTACAGTTGGTTAGGTTTCAATCATAGGGCCAAATTCAGTTATTAAAGGAAAATGATGTTGTAAACAAGACAAAAAAAAAATGGCTTGCAAAAACTTTATTGCACACAGATGTGCTGGTAGTTTACTTCTGGGCACTAGAGGGAGGGAGGGGAAAGTGTACCAGCAAGAGTTGTCAGGAATCAAAGGTGCTATGTCACCTAAAGCTGGAAACCTAAGTATTGTATGAAGGGATGCAATGGAAGGACTTCTTTTTTTTCCTTGCCATTTGTAGTCTAGGCTTGCCCTTGTTTGCTGACCTGACAAAATTAGTGCTCATAGTGCATGGTACAGACTGTGGACCTGACTCAGGCTTTCTGTGGCAGGTGGAGAGCAGGTGAACTCATCCGGAGCATCCCACCAAAAGACCTACCTCAACTGAGGGCAAAGGTTGCTGCCATGGAAGTGCTGAAGGGTCACAGAGCTGATCTTGGCCTACAAAGAGCATGGGAGGGGAATTACATCGCACTGGTGAGTCCAAGTGAAGTAATCGATGCAAATAGAAGGGGACTGCTGCAATGGCTATGGCTCAGAACACTAAAAGGGTAGAAATTTGATATTAAATTTAAAAAAGTGGGTATTGGTTTCTTGGGAGGGAGAGTACTTTCATGTTTTCTCTGTGGGTTTCATATGGTCTTTGATTTCTACTGTACTACAAGTTAAATTTTCTGAATACAAAGCCTAGTTTGAGTGAGTGTCCCAAACAACATCAAATGATACTGAGTAGTGCCATTAGCTGACACTTCAAATGCACAAGCCTAGGAAAGACAAAAGTATAAAGCAGAAATTCTAGATAAAATGGGATGTTAAGAAATAGCATTAAATGAAAAGGAACAAAAAAATTCTCTCTAGGCAAGTTGCAATGCTTCTTTTACTCCATCCTTCCTTCAAGTATTTTGTTTGTTAAGGTTTTCTCAGAAAGCACATAAAACTCCAGATGCTCCCCTGCTCTTCAGTGAGACAGGGACTGGCTGAAGCCTTTAGACTCGGTGGTGCAGCTGTGGTTCTGCCAGGCCTGGCATGACGTAATGCAATTACTTTCTTTAGTAAGCAAGAAGAATTGTGTGCCTGTGTTTGCTCTTTCAGAGACCAGATAACCCTCAGACCACTGGCTCCTTCATCCCTGTTGCCACTGAGCTGAAACGGAAAGACAAGTACATGAACGTCCTCTTCTCATGTCACGTCCGCAAGGTAACCAGCGCGTGCGTGGTCTGCAGACGCATGAGCTGGGTGGGGAAAATTCTTGCAGCTAAAATTTTGTGAAGCAAAGGGTGAGGAGAGGTAATTCTGGAGATATTTCAACAGGTGGCAGTTGAAAGCAGTCCTATTTTAAGGAATAGTATCAGTGATTTTTGATGGATACGTAATTCTGAACCTATTGCACCAAAGGATGATTTTTCTGAGGGGCTTCTCTGACCTCTTCATTTCAGAGGAATTAATAAATTCTGTGTAACTGGCTTGGGTCTGACTTTTTCCATAGCAGAAAGTTAGTTCTTTTTTGTTTCCTTAAATTGATTGAAAGGTTTTAAAAACTAATTAGAATAATGTACTTGCATATTTTTTTTATGGATAGAGTGATCTATATTATGCTGTTTTTAAATGTCTGTCAGGATAAGATACTTTGACTTTTACAAAGACAAAAACATTCAATGGCAGGGCTACTGATATTCAAGTGTTTTTCAGGAGCTTTATATTTGTATATGCTTTTTGTTTCCAAAAATATGCTTTTGTAGTCGGTCTTCACTTGCCAGAAGTAGAGCATGTGTGTGATCTTTATCATTCTGCAGAGATTATGTTTAACAGTAAAACAAAATTAATTCTGCAGTGAGAAATCTCACTTTATAACAAAACTTCTTTGCAAGTGGTAGTGGTTTATATTATTTATACAACAGTAAGTGATTTCTGTATATAAAAATAGAAATCTCTTATTGCTAAAACTATTTCAGTGGAGTAGTCCATTGCTTTTAACATGTTCACTTTAAGAGTGTGGTTTGCTGATTAAATGAGTGGTTTGAGTGATATTGGTTTATGCTGTTAGGATTAAAGGAGGATTGGGTGAGTCTGAATCTGAACCTCATCTTTACAATCTGGGCAGCAGTTTGAAAAGTTTGGCTTTTTTCACCTTAGGCTGAAAACAAAGGAATTCCTATTGTAATTCATTTAATAAACTAGAACGAAAGTATTGCTGTTTCTAGCTAAACTGGAATAATTGTAAAAATACAATATTAAGTTCTTAATAAAGTGACTGTAGGAGTTGTCATTTTGAATAAGAATGGAGAGACGGTGAGGGGAATTATTTGGTGTGTGTATAATATTAAACTCCCACAGTGGGTATACATATATTGCTCACTGTTATGCAATTTCTAATCTTTTAAATCCTTCTGTTTCTCTCACTTGCTCCTTATTCAGCTTTAAAGGACAATATCCTGCACAGGAATAGGTAAAAGCAAATTTTTGAAACACAAATCCATACCTTACTTACCTTTAGGCAAGCATCTGAGCAGTTCCTTTCTGCTTATGGTGCATGAAGAAATCTCTGAGAATGCAAACAGACCTTGTTTCTATACTTCCTTTTACTGTGTTTACCTTGTTGGAAAAATGCATTTTCTGCTGGGGTTTGTTGCATTGGTGTCTCTTTATTGATAATAAAAGCAGGCTGGAGACAGAGAAGATGTTGCCCATCATAAAGTAGGTTTCTACCTGAAATTTCAGTGCTTGCAGAGGTGAAGAAAGCTTTAGCTTATCATGGGTGCTTTAAAAAAAGGTAGCTCAGTTGAAATAGGGAAATGCCACAGAGACTGCGAGGTTATAGACTTGCAGTCTTGAGGTTTTTAAATTATCTTGCAACTTTTTTGATTCTTTTAAAGGTTAAATCGTTGGTCACTCTCATATATCAGAGAGGTCAGGCTTCATCCTTCCTTTGCCTGGTTAGTTAGGGACATCTTTGCCTGGCTTTTGAATTCATCAGCAGTGGAAGCACACACACGCATGGCAGGAGGCTACGTTTGGCTCAGGTAGGACAGGTGCCAGCAGAGGATGGCAGCTGACTGGCACATGGGAATGGCTGCTCCTCCAAACCCAGCTGTGCCTGAGTCTTCAAAGTCATTAATGCTTTTCTGGTCTTCATCCTTAAAGATCTGTCTTAGAAAAAATCGCTAAATGTAGTGATACGATGGCCTTGAAGAAACTGGTAGGAAGCACCTCTCATCAAACAAATGGATAAAATCACTCCAGCATTACTGTTGAGGACAAGCCTGCATCTAGGATCTTTAATGATGTATGTAAGCCTGGCAATTTCAGTGCATCTCTGTGTTTAAACTCAAAAGCAAAAGACCCCTTTCAAATCCATGCTTGGATGTAATAACTTTTTGAGTGAACTGCTTGTCTTCCCTCATATGAACAAGAAATGTCCAAGTAAGCCTGAAGTGAACAAAGGAGAGAAACAAACAATCGTGAACTTTGAAAGCTAACAAGACAAAGATTTGACATTTCAAGATTTATCATTTTACTTTCCAACCAATGCACTTCTTTACAGAGTCGAAATTAAATCTGAACCTCAGATTTGCAGACTAAGCAAGAGTGAAAATTGCTGTAAAGCCTGTAAGCAACTTCATTCTTTGACTAGACGAACGCAGTCTTTTCCCTGAAAACAGTGCTAGCCTGTCTTTCACTGTGTCACATAAAAGAATTTACATTTTGAGCTGTATTTTTAAAACTAAGGTGCTTTTTGTCAAAAATACAAAAAAGCTTCTTTTAAAAAATAGAAAAAAAAAACCTACAATACAAAATACTTAAAATAATAATAATAATAATACAAAAATACAAAAGCTTCTTTACCCAAAAAGTACTGTAGTCAGTGCTATTGGGCAGGGATAATTTCTTTTAAAAAAAATAAAAAATAAAAACATTAAATTCCTTCTTGTTAGCTTTATCCTCTTTTAAATTGCCCATGTAATACCACATTACTTGCACAAGTATGGCATTTGATGGTAGCACGTACAAGCTGTATTGATGGTCTGAACATTTGAAAGGGAGGTATTTTCACTGCAGTGAAGTTTGTCAAATTTCTTATGCTAAACCTGGTTTGTTGTGGATTTGCAAATTGACTGTTATTGTTTGTTTCTCAGCTGAAACTTGGCTCTCACAAGCTTTAGCAAGGGACTGAAAAATGCGTTAAAAAAAGGAAAATGTAATTACTTATTAGGTGATTTCATTGCTTTGCTTAAATAATGCTCTTCAACAAAGCATCAGTCCACGGAACAGGATTACTCAAGTTCATTGGTGGTGTATTATCATGATTCAGTTTACTTGGGGATTCTTGAGCAAAATGTGCTGTTTCTGCTGGTCCTTGTGTCAGGCAGAAAGGTGTTACTGTAACGAGAGCACTGAGTCGAGATAAATGTTTTATTTTTGGACCCACATTAGACTTCCTTTACGCCTTTGAATAAGGTGCCATACCTTCCTTCCACCATGCGTAAAGCAGTTCTTGTCTTTCAACAGCAATATTAGGTGTCTGATCCTTAATTTTTTCAGATAATTGCAGTCTGATGCACTTCTTTCTTTGAAAAGAAATGACATAAAGAGGATAAGTAATGGGCAAATTGAACAGACACAAGTCTGGAGTTCATGTATGTAAAAAAGTTTACATATAGAACATATCTGCTGTGGATTGTAAGATATTTGCTAACCGTTAACTTCTTTGAAACAGATTTTTTTTTTTTAGTTGATTGACATTGCTGTAGTGAAGTCAAGAAAGTAATAGCAACTCGTAGCAGCCAGGGAGCTGCTCTTGAAGTATTGATAACTGCTGTTAAAGTTTTCTTTATCTTGAGTGTATGGGGTCTTAATTTCAACAGCTTGAGATGAATAATAGCAAGTGAATCTGGACCGAAGGTTTTGTAGTTCTTTTTATAGAATGCCTGTGAAGAGACTTTGATGTCTCGCTGATGGGATGTGCATGTCTTTGCTTTCTCGCAGTCGGTATAGGTAGAAGCATGTCATTTCGGCCTTTGGAAAAATACATCTTTACTGAGCATTATGATGCTCTTTATTTTTCAGAGGAAATTTTCAAGATTTTTGCCTTGGGAAACCAAATGCATATTTCATGCACGCCACCAGATTTTGTTTTATCACCTAGGAAACAACAATTTCTCCTTTTTTAGAATAAGGCTTTTTTTCCCGTTTTTCTCCCCTTTCATTTGTGGCACTGTGCTCCCACGAGAGGACCATCTCCAAAGCCTGGTGCCTCTCACCCTGCAGTGGCAGAGACCTGGAAAGCTCATTTGAAGGTTTTTCTGCTATTGGCTGAGGGTTGGACCTTCATTTTTCCCTATAAGCTAGGCAGGAAGCTAAATTAGGACTGATTCACATTGGGATCAACAAAGATATAAATAAAAAAAGCCCAGAGGGTGCAGAGAACACAATGCGAGGAACGGCTGTTCTCTGAGAGGGTATAATCAGTATCTGAGAACATAAGGCCTGTCTCTACTCCTACAAAATCAAAAGAATAGCGGCATTTGCAATTGTGCTGGCATTTCTCTGAATCTCTTCTGTGCATGCTTCCCAATGTGACAGGTTACTTCTAAAAACACAACATGTGTTATTTACATAAATATGTCATAGATGCATGAGGCACCTGAAGCAAAGCAATTGCTTGGAAAGAGCTGAAAAGGACATGAGTTACTCAGCAGCAAGAATTTGCTTCTCATGTGAGTTAAGCTGCTGTTCCCCTTTGGTGTGTCTCTTTAACCGTTCAGCTGAATTTATAGTTCAGTGTGAACGCTACAACAGTGGGTAGACCCAAAGAAGAGTCTGAAACACTCTGGTAACTGTAGTGTTATATTGCAGAATCAGAACGTGCTTTGAGGGCAAAGACATTTCTTCGCAGAAAGAGTGGTCAGGCATTGGGACGGATTGCCCAGGGAACTGGTTGAGTCATCATCCCTGGGGGTGTTCAAGGAAAGGTTGGACATGGTGCTGGGGGACGTGGGTTAGTGGGTGACACTGGTGGTCGGGGGTGGCTGGACCAAATGATATTGGAGGTGTTTTCCATTGAAAACATAGAACTTTCATGATTTTACGATTTTAGGGAAGCCTTTGCTTCCCAAGCCATGGAGAGTGGTGTCCAGTGAGCTGCAAATCCCAAGCACGGCTGGCAGAAGCTGCATTGCTCTGCTCAAAGAACCCCACAAGCAGCACCACACACTCCTAACCTTCTTTCTCCATGCCATTTAGTGTTTCATTTTATTTTTTTTCTCCCATCCATTGCTTCCTAACATAATTCCAGTTTTTCAGCATCTCTGCTTGTAAGATTTTCCAGGCTCTTACCCATTTTTCTTTACCTTCTCTGAACCATTATGTTCTCCTTTGCCTTCTCCACACCAGTGCATTACCAGTATCCCAAGTAAGAGCCTGGCAACCAGGACATTATTCCCCCTGCTTGTCTTTACTGCATATGAACTCCTTCCTTTTTTTCAGCTGCCTCACGTATTTGTGCCAAGTTCTATCCAAAGCTGTCTAAAATCATCTTCAGTTACTTTTTCTGAGTCGGTGTGGTTAATTTAAAGCTGTCATGTAGCTCTTTGATTTGCATTTTTTGCTTTTATCTACTCTGAACTCTGCCACTCTGCTGCCTGTTGGTGGAGCATATTTAAGGTCTCCGGTCGTCTCCTGATTTCACCTAGGAAAATCATATTTATGTTCATGTGCCTCATCATGTCTCACCCTTGTTTACACTTCTCAGTTGATTAATAAATATCTCTGTGACTGCGATACACTGATAACTCTGGTTTTGCCTTGATGAAAAATATTTTCTACTTTCTGCCCTACTTTCTCACTTGCTTCTGCAAAGACTTTGCTTGGTGACTGTTTAGTACCTAGCCTCTTGGGAGTGGGCCTGTGAAAGTCTAGATTGCATCAAATATTCTCCTTTTGTGTAGTATTTGCTTGACGAATTAATTGTAATTTTAGTGAAACATGTTTCTTCTCTAAAAACCCTGCTTGCTAGAGCCTGAAATCACCAGCAGCCTAGAATAATATTTGAGATGAGCTGCAGGAGGATGGGAGGGATTTAAATGGTCTGTGTATAAAAAGGAGATGTGACTAAAGCCATGATCCCAGGGTATAAAACACTGCTCTAGAGAGAATATAATTTTCTTTCTTGTGGGAATGTGATCTTCCTACTTCTGTTTCTGTAAAAAAAAATCACCTCAGCTGTATGAGATATGTAACAGTAGTTGACTAGTGTCAGCCTTCCTGTATTTTCCACAGATCTGATGTTATTGTGAAGGTACGTCGGTTAGTATCTTGTAGCCTTTGAATGAGTGCATTCTTAATAAACAGTTGCACATCTTTACAATAATTTTCCAGAGGTACTTACAGCTTATGTGGCATTTGACAGCATTTTTGGTGATTTAATTTATCAGGGATGCTGTTGCTGGAGACCTGATTGATAACCTACAATATACACGAAGTCAGAATATCTAGAATTAAGAGAAATGATATAATTACATTTCTTGGTGCTTGGCTGTGTCTATTACTTTGCATCATTAGCTGATGCTTAAGCAATCTTTTTTTTTCTTTTTACTCTTATGTAGAAACAGGTTGTGTGAACTGGAACAAAATACTGGGACATGGGGCTGTGTACTTGACTGTTTTCAACTGCACTTGGTTCTTCCAGAACAGCTGTGAGCTCATGCATTTCTGTCTTCCCATAGTTATTTTTTACCTTATAAAAAATGTTAAAAATAATTGGTTTAAAAAAAAAAGTTTTAGGATTGATCCACATGAACTAAAACATATGAATGCTATAAGAAAGAGCTTCTTTTCCCTGTGCACTGTCAGTAAAGCTGCTAGTGTTGGCTTTTATTGCCCCTTTCTTCCGAGTGTCTGGTTATGCAAGCAGTCTCCCAGGTGGATAGTGTTTTGAGTACAAACTGAAGTGAGCCATCTTCTTGACTATGCCAAAGATTATTGCATGAGGGTTGGGACACATATGTATAAATAATCTCTGCTGCTGTTGACTGACGATGAGATTACAGGTGGTAATACAGCGGTTTGCCTCAGCAGGCAATTGATGGTTCTTCACTGAATTATAGCTGTATCTATAATTGGTCTTAAATTTACAGCTGTAGAGCCAGCCCAGTGGCGATATTAAGATATTAATGCTTCCCAATGGCGACACTAAGATGCATTTGCTGAACTACTTGAAACTGTCAGAATACTTCAGATACTGTGAAATCTGTGTTCTTGGTAGCGTACAGGCTGATGAGATCATAGAATGATCGAGGTGGGAAGGGACCTCTGGAGTCTGTGGTCCAACCTCCTGCTCAGAGCAGGTCTAGCTTCAAGTAGATGAGGTTGCTTAGGCTCTTCATCAGCTGAGCTTTGTAAATCCCCGAGGATGAAGATGGCACAGCCTCTGTGAGCCCTGCACCAGAGCTGCCACCCTTCCAGTGAGATTTTTTCCCATATGTCCCATAGGACTTTGTGCTGCTGCACCTTCTGCCCGTTGCCTCTTGTCCTTTAGCCATACTTCTCTGAGAAGTCTAGCTCCATCTCCTCCATATCCTACCTTTGTCAGAGAGTACAGCTATGTAAAGATGAAAATTAAGTTTGTCTCTTTCTGGAGGCCAGCACTGAAGTTGTTTGAAGTACAGTCTGATTTTCCCTGTTTGTCTTGTAGGAATGAATTAGGAGACCAGAGTCCAGTTCAAAACAACCTGAGAACAGTATAAAATTTAACATCAGCAGAAATCTTCCTCAGTGGTCAGTTAACCTTAGAGGTACACATGCCTCTGCATGCTTTCCTGTCTGCATTAGAAGTTTGCTGCTTGTTGTAGCTTTGCTCTCTGTGTTCCCAGAACAGCAGCAGAGAGCATAGCTGGGCAGCAAGCTCAGTTTAAAGAAGTTCTTTTGAGGGTCTTGAACTCAGTGGTGATACTTATACATCACTGCCTTGAATGCCATGTCCTTAACAGAATGCAAGGTCAAGTTAAAATACCAGATGAGTGATGTCCATCTCAATAGAAAAATCTGCTACTGACAGCCAGGGTCTGGCACAGCCGAGCTATCTTGTGGCTCACCCTGCGTTCTGCCTGTTCATCATCACCCAGAGCATCACCGTGCCTTTCCCTTGCTCTGGTGCTTGTGCGGCCCTTCCCTCACTAATTTCATAAAAAGGGCAGATTTTTGTCAGGTTACGGAGTTGGTAGTGCTGATGGGCACCATAGCTAGCTCGGGGTTTGGGGTTAGACCCCCTGGAAAGGGGAACGGATTTCTTGCTTAGCAAGGGAGAGGTTTGTGTTCAATACCCTTTGCAGCCTGCAGGCATTGCAGCTTGGGTCTTGTGTTTGCCAAGAACTACCCTTGCTTTTCTTCTACCAGGTGGTTGCACCAGGTCCCTGCGTGCAGACCTGGCTCTCCCAGGCTCCTCTTTATTCAGTCTTCAGTTCCTTTTGCAGAGTGGCACAACTTCAGCAGAACTGGAGGAGCATGCCCTTACTTGGCTAACACATCACTAATGGGCAGGGGAAGATGCTTGTCCAGGTTTCCCACTTCTTGGGCTAGTTGCTTGGCTACACTGAGAGCACAAAAGAGGGAAATGGGACCTGCTCAAATTTAGGATGGTCCAAGGCATCTGCTTTCAAATGCGTCAGGTCTGGACTGGCACGCAACCTGGTGACACCCTTTTAGCTCTGTAGAGGGCAGGTGTTCTGCATTGTTCTTCTGAGGTGACAAAGGCACATACATAATGTGGGAACAAAAGCTGTCTGCCTGGCTTTGGGGGTCTGCTCAGTGGACAGGGACATAGGTTAAAAATTGCTAGTGGAAAGCATCTGTCCTTGGTTTAGGCCGTGGTTGTCCCAGCTGGATGACTCTAGGAATGTTGCTTCTCTGAGATTACCCATTTCTCTATTTATGAAATATGGTTATGGGGTCGGCCTTCCCTTTTCACTCCTTCAAGTAAACCTATTGAAGATGTATGTGAGTTTTGCATGTCTACTGCTGCAGACTTTTTATTCTGCATCTTTTTGCATTGATCACTGTGACTGAAAATTGCTTCTTTACAGGTCAATCGCTTTAGTAAGGTGGAGGACCGAGCAATCTTCATTACTGATCGACACCTTTATAAGATGGACCCTATGAAGCAGTACAAAGTGATGAAGACCATCCCCCTCTATAATGTAAGTACAAGGCCTGGAGAAGCTCATCTCAGGCTGTCTTAGTCATGGGCAGGTCATCTGCTGTTTAGCTCCGTTTTCTGATCTACAGAATGGAAAAAGACTGTGGTTTACATTTTTAATGTATTTAATAGCTTTAAAACACTTAAGTGCAATTATCTAAAGCACTGCTGTCTAATGTTAGCTTTTAATTTTGGTGCATAAAATAAAAGCTAAAAAACAAACTGCTTATTGCACTTTCTTCTGTTTGTTCTTCTATTTTGTTATTTATTTGCTGTGTGCTGCAAGATCTTGGCCCCATAAGAGGGCTAGCATTTCACAGTGGCTTAAGACACAATTTCTCTGTCTCTTGGGGTTTGTTTGATCCTTCATGTTTTTTGACTTATATATATTTATATAAATATATATATATATATTTGTCCATGTTTAATGTAAATCTTATCAAAGCTAAATTCAGAATTGTAGCGAGGTATCTGGCCTTCGGGGTAGCAGAGTTTAGCTGCCAGTCACAAAGAAGCAGATTATCACTGATAGGAAGGGGGATGGGAGAAAAGCTCATTTTTAGCTCTTCAGCATCCTGGTGCGTGTTTTCAACTGTTTGTTTGTTTTCCTCAGCCTGAGGTAACACCACTGTGATTATCTTAAACCTACAGAACCTGGCTGGGTTGCTTGCAAATGTCGTACGCAAATTTGTTAGGACGTTTGCATTTGAAGAAATAATAAATTTGTAGTCCCCACATTGCTGAAAGACTAAAGATGGGATTAGGGTAACAGTAAAACCTAATCTGCAAATGTGGATGGAATGATTAGCTCAGATTGCATCCTTAATGTTGGTTTTATTGGACCTCTTCTAACGTCCTTGCTGGTTACCCACCAAAGCTGCACACTGATTGCCCACTGCAGTACGTGGAATAACTGCTTGCCTGCCTTACTTGTTTCCCCTAACAAGAAAATCTGTTGTAGCAAAGCAGTGTGACCATGACAGTGTCTCTTGTTTTGAAAAGATACTACTGCCATGTATTTAGCAGCTGCAGGTCATTTTCCTAAGTTGATGTTCTATTCTACTGACGTTATCGCTTAATTGTGCAAAATGAAATTGTCAGCAGACAATGCTAAATGACTAACTCTTGCTTGTGCAAACAGACTTGTTAAAATCTACGGCAGACTGCTCTTTCAAGGTGGGTGGATTTTTTTTCAAAGAATCAAGGTGAGCTCAGGTGAGCAAGGTAGAATTTTGTTTGTCACAATTTCTCACTGTTAGTTTTCTAAGCTGTTGCCTTATACAAAATGGTTAAGCTAGTGCAATTCACTTGCTACATGAGTAATTATAGTAAAGCTGTATTTATTTCAGCCATAGAGAAATCCCTGCTTTCCCTGTATGTCTGTAATACAGATGGGTTTAAAGGTGGATCTGTACGTTCAAGTAACAGAGTAAGACCAGGTCACTCTGGGAAGATCTTTTCTGTTGCTACTGGTAGCCTGAACATTTTCCTCCGAGATCCTTAATGCATTAAAAAAAAAAAAAAAGGCAGTACAGAGCGTTTGGAAACATCAGCTTCCTATTCCTAACTCCAAAGAGGCTGGAACATAAATGCACTGCAAAAGGAGCCAGACACTTCACAAACCATTGTCCTGGGTCTGCCTGGGATGGAGTTCATTGTCTTCCTAGCAATGTGGATGCAATTTGTAGGTTGCCTATAGAAAGTCTGTTACTTAGAAATGTTAGTAATTACTGTTCTTTCACAAGACGTGTATGTCTGAAAGGGAGGATCAATTCACACAAGGTGAGTGATAACTTGGCTGTAGCATGGGCTGCCTGTGCTGGCTTTGCATCTCCTGGAGCAGCAAAGCACATAAATGTTCTGTGCATATAGGTCTCTTATTGTGACAATATTTGAATTTCTATAAATAGGAATCAGCTTTATTTGTAGATCTGCAATTATTCGCTTTTCCAGCCTAACCCTAGGCTTCTTGACAGCAGTTTCCTTTACCTGAGCAATCACCAAGAGCTCCTGGGTTACTTCCTATGGGAGGAATGGGTCCAAAAAATTCCCTCAGTGACTCACACAGGTGCCAGTCTTATTCCAGCCTGGAAACTTGTCCGATGAAAACAATCTTTGGTAAATGCTGTGGTGATTTCTGCTCTGTTGGCCAAAGGTCCTCCTTTCACCTGTTTCCACTCCACTGTGGTCCTTGGGAACACAAGAAAATCTGTGGGCACAGGGATAGGGGTGGCATCGTGGTGACAGGGCATGTCCACTGATCCTACTGATTTGCTGCTGACTCCTCTCTGAGCAGCAGGAAGAAGAGAGTTTGGAAATGTATTTGGTTTCTATATAGTATGTGAAATACATTTTTTTTTCACTAGGATTTCTTAAGCTAAACTCCTGCTAATGATCAGTGCTGCAATCCAATAGCTTTTCCCTTTTCTGGTTGTGTTTTGTGTTGTGTTACTGAGTGATTTGCGTACGTGTTGCCTGCTGCCTCGTGTGCACTGCCTTGTTTCTCTGCATGCCTGATCTCTCCCTGCATGGCAGCCCTGTGGCAGTGTGCAGGGAGGTGCTGTAAGTGGCCATCCGTGATGCAGATATTTGTTCCCTTTCATAGAAAGAACAATTGTTTGAACTGATACGCGTATTTCCAAGAAGCGAAAGGGTAATAAATACACTGGTCTTGGTGTTTCTCGGTGTATCAGGTATGTCCCAGCAGAAAGGTACATGCTTGCTGGGGAAGGATGGATTGCCCTTCTAACATATAAAGGTGAACCCAGCTGAAATTCATCTGCCTGTTAGCTGTGCTGCTTGCCATCAGCATTTCTGAAGCACCCTATCAACATGGCAACATCCTTAGGGATGGTGTTTCCATGGAAATCTCATCGGAGACAGTCAGCTGATGTCTGTTCCTACCATAAACTTGTTTTCGGCTGAAGGAATCGCTCTATAGTTTCCCATCTCCTTTAGCTATGTTTACTTGTAAATGGTTTAAGCATAGGCCTTAATGTATGTCTGCTTGGATTTCAGGTTCTGCATTCTTATTTCTTACCCTGTGTAAGGAATCTGTAATTTTGTGCAAATGATTACAAAGCAATAACTTTCCTTTCAACCCTAACTGCTTCACTGGACTGAGCTGCTACTTTGGGGGAATTTTTGTTTGCAACTGCTCTGGCAGTTGCTTCAGAAGTACCACTGTTAAATTGCCTTTTTATTCTTACCTGGAGAAAAAAAGAAACAGATAATGTCAAGAAGGAATTAGAAGATGATTGAGCAGCAGAAAGGATCTTACGACTGTCTTTCCCAGTACAGTGGAGAATATAATAAAGGAAATTCTGTGGCTGCTGAGATTTTTTTTTTCTGATCTGCAAGCGTGGCTAATATTCGTGTTTATAAATACTGAGATAAGCACCTTCTCTACAATTATTTCTTTTGTATTATTTTTATTTGTTCAGATAGTCTTATGAGGAGGGGCAAAATAGGAACATTTTAAAGGGCTCATGGACTTCTATCACAGTTCTTTTGAAGAATTGATGTTTAAATAGGCTTTTCAAATACACAGATTTCAACTTGCTCATCTTTCATACTCGGTACACATTTAAAACCTTGATGGCAGTAGTCCCTGTGGTGTTATTGTGCTCCCAGGATGTTATTTAAGCATGCAAATTAATTTTAAGGGACACCATAAACCCAGGCAGCTGTTAATGTGTGTGCATGAAGTGTAGCTTGTTTTGAAAGTATTTTGTAACCTTAAAATACTGTGAATGGTAGAGAATAAACTCCACCTGTGTTGGGTATGTGCAACTGGTAGCAGGAGGTCTCTGCTCAGCGCCTAGAATATCAGCAATAACTCATCTGTTGTGCTGCAATAATAAGCCAGCAAAATGTGAGCAACTCTCAACTTGTGTAGTGTTTCATCTAGAAAATAGGGCACACACCACACTTCTGCATGCTGGCTGTGGCATGCTTTTCAGGAACAACGCTGCTGTCTGGTATATGGTAGACATCCAGAGCTCTAACAGGTTTCTTGGAAATAATACAGGGTACCTACTAAACCAAGCATATGGATTTAGGCTGTTTCTGAGAGATTCATGCTTCTGAAAGTACTGCATAGTCTCCAACTCTATCTGTGCTAATATGCTTTCCAACACAGGCAGTGGGGATGCATAGAAGGCTTTTTTTTTTTCTTTAAAAAGAGGATGATGAGATTTTGATTTCAGTAAAACAGTGTAGCAGTGCCTCTTGGTTTTAGGAGAATGTGGCTTCCTTCTGCCTGTCCCTAGATGACTCAAAAGAGTTGGGTAGTGCTTTGGTGGACAAGGAATGTCTGTTCTAGTATCTGTTTGTGTTAATCATTCTTTTTCCTCTCTCCCTCTAGCACCAATTTATAAATGTACTTGCCTCTTGATTTTTCTTTTTGCATCCTTATATTTTGTTTCCTTAGCATAGATTTTTTTTGTTGCTTTTTGTTGTTGTTGTTGTTCTTGTTTTTTTAAAATATTCACCTGAATAGCCTGTGTACCTAGACTGCCACTCCTAAATTTTTCCTGCTTTTGCTTTGGGTGATGACAAGGACAAAATCTTTAATGTACCAAGTAGCAGTTACTTAGCAGAAAGACATTGATCCATGACTAAATACTGGAATCAACACAGCTTTGTGGGGTTTGCAACTTACATTCTTCATCAGAATGTTTGGGCTTTCAGTAGATTTTGTTCCTGTATTGTCTGCTTATCATTACATTCTTGAAGCCGTGTCTGTGGATTTGAGCAGAGGGAGATGGTTGTTGGCCAGACTGATGGTTATTGTTGGCTTCCCTTGAAAATAAAATAAAGCAAGCTTGTGGATCTGCCCCTGAGTGATGTGGTGTCATCCAGGGTGAGATGTGGGGGAGCCTTATCCCACCTGGTACACTCTGGTGAGCAGCATGCGGTGCTGAAAGTGCAGAAGGGCACCGACTCACTGCACCACTGCTAGCAGGAGCTGCTCCAGGGGACACAGCCTAGGCAGCAGAATTTCCCAGCAGAATTTTAGCAGGGACCATTGACTACCTCCCCCGCACCAAAAAACAAACAAACAAAAAACTATTGTTTCACTTGTACTTTGGCTTGTGGGGGCAGTATGGTGAGCTTGCACAAGGCCATTCCATTCTCCAGGCACTGCTCTCGCAGGTAGAGGTAGAACTTGAAAGGCAGCATGGCATACTGAGGTTGAACGAGCTGGTCTGGCCCTTAGTAAAAAATATATCAAAGTGTATGACATTGCTCTTGCTTTCTCTTCACAGTTGATAGGATTGAGCGTCTCCAACGGAAAGGACCAGCTCGTGGTCTTCCACACGAAGGACAACAAGGATCTCGTTGTCTGTCTCTTCAGTAAAGAGCCATCTAATGACAACAGGATTGGAGAGCTGGTGGGAGTCCTGACAAGCCACTTCAAGAGGTCAGTGTTGTTTGGATTGTGCTGAAAACTCAGTCTAGCATGCCAAATCAGAAACTTGCTGTGAAGTCATTTTGATGTCAGTCTGGAGTTTTATCTGTGTTACTTCGCTGTATTACTAGGATGTCAGAGCATCATTTTTCCCTGTTATTTTTGGGACATACTTTTCAACTGCCACACTTTGCTTGCCCCTTCTTCCTTCCCTATATGTGCGTATTAGAACATAGGTGTTTGGGGACACACATCACTGAAGATGGCATTCTGAGTGTGTTACAATGTCTCATAAGCATGTTTTAAGGTCAAGCTCTTCATATGTAAAATTAGGATACAGCTATTCCTTTTTCAAATTCTTTTCCCTGCCACTAGTGTCAGTAGATCATTTAGTGTTTGAGCTGTAAAATGTTGTCTCTGAATCCCTGCAAATTGTCTCACTTGCAAATCACTGTGTAAAATCTGTTTTAGTCGTAGACTAAACACTTAAGTGGTTATCTTGCATTGAGCTTCTTGGAGGTACAGCTGAACTAGCAATGATCACCTTTATAGCATACAGCAGGTTTGGGATTGCACAGAAAAGCTGCACAGCAGTCATTGCATTGCAGACAATCACATAAAACTAACTCTGTAGAGAAATGGTCTTGACAATTGGACAAACCTTCAGAGTTCTTCTCTTGCTCCTCCAGAACAGATTCTCATGAAAATCAATACTGATGAGCATCATATGCAGCATTTGGGTGTTGCCACTCATAATACCGTGCTTCATTTATGATAGACAAAACGGAGTCTTTATAGGTAAACAACTATTTGGAGCTGCAGGTGGCAGGACAGTGAGTGAATTTGTTATATTAGGTGCCTGGGTAATTTCTTACATGAACTTGAGCACGCTGATTTAGCCACTTCTGTCAGTACTGCTGGAGATAGGTGCTAAATTCATCTGAAATTAATTCTAAGCATTGGCATAACTTGCTTTAAGAAATTCAGTGCTGAAAAGCAACAGAAAGCATTCTCTTTTTTTTTTTTCATTTACCTCAATATAGTTTAATTTTCAAATGTAGCTACTCATGGAGGCTCAGGAGGTTATGGGAATATGTCTTGTAAAGCAGCACGCATCCTTTCAGGAGTCCTGTGAAGTAGCTGGATTTCTTTCATGTCTGATGTGTTTTGAACGCAGGTGAAATCTCCAGCTGATGCTCTTCAGTGACTTAACAAGTCTGTAACGTTGGGAAGAGCTGTGAAACTGTTGATTGCACCCCAGATCCTGTATTCTCAGTGTTCAGACTTCCCTGTTTTGCTGTTCCTTTTCCTCAGTCATTACAACAAAGCACCCCATCCTTTTATCATGTTGAGACCATTGTGGGGACTGGTCTAAAATACTGAGCCTTTCATATAGGGTATAAACTATTGATTTTTCAATTTCTTATACTGATTTAACAATGACATTTTTATTTTTAAAAAGAATTAGTTTTAGTTTTTATCCATCTAATTAGTTAACTGCCATTTTATTACAGACAGTACTCTTACATGCTGTTTAATCTTCACTTACTACAGTATTGGTTGTGGTTTTTTTTTATTGTTTTAAGTGAACTCTCAGCATAGCTGGTTAAATGGAAGTGTCTGAAACTTTTTCTCAGATGTCTGGTTGAGGTTACAGGTTTAAGGATAATGTACAGGAACAGCTCATTTGCCAAATATCCAAATGTCATGGTTTCCCTCATCAAAGCAATATCTGTAAATCAAAAGGGGAAAATTCTTGTTTTCAGGCAGTTTCAATTTTCTAAGTATAAAAAAATCCTGTCTGTGAATGGGATTAGCTGACCCATTGCTCAAGAGGCTCTTTGGGAATTCCTCATTAACCAGGATTAACCAAGAGTCCAGAGTCACTGTGTGCCTCATGGCAAGTGTCAGGTTTCCCTGTCCTGCCTGTCAGGAGGTGCTTGCTGTGACAAAGTGGATCCAGCAGTAAAACCCTGTGAAAGTCGGGTGGCTGCGTGACCCTGGATGTGATTTCAGAGCAGTGCTACACCTGTGATGTGCAGGGCGGCTTCCTTGGGTGACAGCGGGGTCTCACATAAGGTCGTCTCCAAACATACAAAGTAGTTTCCAGCCATCCTGGTCCCAGTCCTCACATCTCCATTAGGAGGTTTTAGCAAGAGTGAGGTTGCACAGCTCCCTGTGGTTCCATGTAATGCATAACGATGTTTTAAATACTTGTGTGATAAAATCATTACAACTCTGTACAATCTGTACTAACGTATAGGCAGGACTAGGAGACTGGTGGTGACACCTGTGCTATGGATGTCTGGACCTTCTCATTCAGATGCTTTGTTTGATTCCTAGTGGTAGTTTTCACACTTTGAAGTTGTGGTCAGAAATGAATAAGCTTCTTAGTGTAAAATTAACATGAAGCTTCTATGAGCTATACAATTTTGCAGCAGCAACTCTGCTGGTTAAGGTGTTAGGGAACTGAATGTAGTCAAGCTAATGGGTGTTTGAGTCATGTTTGTAATTTGGCAGCTGTTATTTTTTTTAAACAAAGCAATTATGTAGCTAACTGAATTCCCAACAGAAATAATGACAGAGCTGGCTAAAATGCTAATGCTATGGCCACAGTGTACCGTCAAGTGCTGAAGCTCATGTTCAGGAAAAAGGGATCTGAGAAGTTTTTTCCAGGAGTGAGAGTGGATGTAAAAGGGTGAGGGCCATCAGCCAGGAGAGGACTTATCTTCTCCATCTTTGACATCGAAGTTGCTTCAGGGTCTTTAAGCCTTTAGAAGGCTTCTCCAGCAGGTCAAGTCCAGTGTGCTGAGGACTCTTTCTGGATGTACTTTGGAGCCATGCTTTGCCAGAGAAGACCTGTTTCTAGCCCGTTTTCACAGCACGAATTCCGTCTCATCCTCTGGTGGATCTCGCACTGCCTCTGTCAGCTCCTGTCTGGTTCCTCCTGAAGTGTGGAAGCATCGCCAGCTGAATACCCTTGGTGGCAAAGGCAGCTCAGATGTCATCACCAAAGGTGACTGAGACCCATGCTTTGTTTCCAGGCATTGTGCTCCATTCTGCAGTACACTCAAACTTAAAGATATTTTTTTTTTATGTCTGGTTTAAACACACATGGTATTTTCAGTTCAACATGCATATTGATCTAAGCTTCATGGGTATCAGTGGCCAGCTCTCTTCAGTGTTTCTGTTCCCCTAATCCCTGCATTGTCTGCAGCCACAGCCACTGGTTTTCTTCCAGGATTGCTGAAGGGAAGGAGGAGTTAAAAGAACAGTAAAAAGCAATTCCTGCAGAACTCCAGCAGAAAATCGGTTGCCTAAGGATAATTTTATATTTTCCATTCCGCTTTGAGACCTGTCAGCCAATTTTAATCATTAGTGCTCACTGGATTAATTTTCTTTAGTTCTGGGTTCTTAAACAGGCATGCCTTGGAGCCAATTGCCTTGGCACTGTTACACTATTGACCAAACAGTAATTCATAAAAACGGATGTCAGGCTAAAGGCGACGGGCTGTAGGTTTCATTAGAGTCAGTTATCCTGTTCTTCTTCCACACAGGGGCTGTTTTTGGCCTGGCACGAAGGTGTCTTTAGGAAGATTACGTTTCTCAGCTTTCCCTTTCACATGTAATCAATATAGTAATTTTGCTCCATCTGTGCATTTCATGATGTTACATGAGATGGTAGCGGTTTGTTTGATTGTGGAAGCAGGGAGGCTTGGTTATTTGATGTAGTGGCACATACGTGTATATTGTATGTATGTAATGCAGGAGTGTGAGTGTGTGTGTGTATACATACATATATATATATTTTTTTTTTAATACAGACAAAATCTGTCTCATCAGCCTTTCAAAATAAACTGAAATACCAACATGTTAGGTGTAAGGTGCGCGGTTTCCCCAGGCTTCCTTATTAAGCAAGATCTGCATAGGGCAGCACATCCTTGCAAAAAGCCTCTTTCTTTGCCTGCCCTCAGCAGCATGGTGGCACGTAGGGGATGTATCTGGGATTACAGCTTTATTATGCTAAACACTGGAAACAAACAGATCCTGGTGCAAGTGTGTGCTGCCTAGGCAGACCAGGGAGGCGGAAAGGGGAGAAGCAGCATCGCGTTGCACTGGGGAGCAGAGGGCTGCAGTGGTTGTGCTTTTTGCAAGGTTCCATGCACACCTCCAATGCAGCCACTCTGGTTAATATGTAGCCACTCTGTGTAGACTGGCTGTGCTTTGAAATATTTCCCAGAGTGGTTCTTGAGACTGTATTAGGTAATGGCCTTGCTTGATGTGTTAGAAAGCGGTTAATAGTTGTGATCTGGCTGTACCTGGAAGTTCTTGAAACAGCTGCATTGAAATGGAGTAGTTGTGAAGAGAGGAAATGAGAAGAAAAGTGCACTTCTGACTGCTTTTCTAGTGTTCAAAGCTCCAGCCATAAATATTTGTTAACACTGGAATTGCTTCAAACTTTGGATGAGTGCAGGATGCCCCTAATCCCCTGAACTACATAAACTGAGTGTCAGAATAAAGCCTGTCCAGAATTGCAGGCAATTTGGGGAGATTAAATATATTTGGAACAGGAGAACTCACAAATGTTTTTTTCTGAATTTTGTTCTTTGTAACAAATCGTGTTGTGGCAAACAAAGCTTTCTGCAAACACATTTAAGTGAAAGATTTTTAAATTTGCTATTATCTTAATAGCAGTGTTTAAGGTTAAGCTCTGAGAGTGCTGCCTCCTGGGTGATTTTTGTTAATAGCATGAGTGTTTGCTAGGTAGAGGGAAAGAAGCCATCTGTAAATGCACATTTTCAATCCATTGTGCAGGAGTAAGGATGAGCATTTTATACATTTTTGATGCTGTCCATTAAAAAAAAAAAAAATCAACATGATTTTATTTTGCTTATTTAGGAAAATCAGTCCTCAGCCCAGTTATAAGCACAATCTGGAACACAAATCATTAAGCAGGAGAGCCCAGTTTGTTTAAAATCAATTCAATATTTTTTATTTCCTCCACTATGAAG